TAATGAACTGAAAAGTCGTTTTGAACAGTCACAAGCAGGTCCTGGACGAACAGGTATTGGACACAGATTTCAAGACTGAGTTAGGGTCATGTCTGCTCGACGATAAGTCGTTTCTGTTCGGCAATAAGTCAAAGGCCACAGTCCCATTCCAGTCACAGTCCCACGTGTCAGTCCTGATTCAGACCAGGAGTCCAAAAGACAGGCCCGATGGCCCAAAGCAGTAGCAGACCATGGGAAAAGATACTGGGACACACACTTTGCAACAACAGGTACTGGGCATGTCACTCTCTAAGATGTACTGTTTGGCAAGATGTATTTAAGGGACGCTGGACCTGGTTTCCAGCAGGTGTTGCTCCCCACCAATAGATGGAGCGGCCCACCAGGCAAAGCCTCAATCCCGGTGATTCTCTTACCACCACCAGGATTGAGGCCTTGCGCAAGGGCCTTTCAAAAAAAAAAAAAAAAAAAAAAGGGCAGGAGTCCCAGAGACTTGGAGGCCGAGTTCAGACCTCGCCAGTCCAGTCCAGCGCTATAAAGGACTGGCCAGCCTCCTCATTTGGCAGATGCTCATTTCGCATGAGAGTGTGGAAGTGTTGTGGCACTTGTGCGCCAGATGTGTGTGAGCTGCGCTAGGCTGTGAGCAGAGCTAAGTGTGAGGGAGAGAGAAGTGGGGGCGCTGGCTGGAAGGAAGGCAGCCATAGCTGCGTCAGCGCCAGTTAGTGCATTAGTAGGGATAGTTAGTAGAAGAGTCCAGTGAGAAGTATTCAGAGTAGATCCTCGTGTGATAGGGAGTGGTCATGCTTGGTGAGTGTGAGTAGACCAGAAGTATAGACACAGAGAGAGAGAGAAGCGAGGGAGAAACGAGTTATGGTGAAACGTACCAGTTGAGCTCTGTACTGGATGAATGGCTGCTGGCGCTGATGCGCGCCAGGCTTGGAACTCATGTTGGATGGAGAGGACTGGTCATTCTGTTGGGTGCTATTCATTCTTTTTTTTTTCTTTTTTTTTATGGGAACAAGGCTCCAATCTATTCGTGGGGAGCAGCACGTGCTGGGAACCGGGCCCAGCGTCCCATATGGAAATTTACATAAGATTTTGAAGATTGAGATACCGGGGCCATTACCCGGCTTTGGCTCAGAAAAAACGAAGCTACTTAGAAAATGACTACGACAAACTTCAGAATATAAACAGAATTCATTCTGAACTCGTGATTCTCTTTCTTCAATCTGGTTTGTTAATTGAGTTGTGGAGTTGTGTTTCTTGGTCACCACTCATTTTCCATTGAATTTCGTGTGAGTCAATGCAATCTGCGCGATCTGTATTACATGCATGCTGCTATCTGGTACACTCCAGCAAGTGAAGTTCAGTCAGGTTCCTTTCACATAGGGAGATAGGAGCAATACAGAGAGAGGAAGAAGGGGAAAGACAGTGGCAGATTGCTTAGTGCATACATTCATCATACATTTCATTCTCTCTCTCTCTCTCTCTCTCTCTCTCTCTCTCTCTCTCTCTCTCTCTCTCTCTCTCTCTCTCTCTCTCTCTC